GATGACGTGGAGACAAGGCATGAAGAAATGCACAGAGCCATTAGGTAGAGTAGGTGTCTCTCGCGTTCCAGGTTGAGGTCCGAAAGACTCCAACACTGGTTGGTTGGCATTGAAGGATATGGCAGCGAACCGGCAGCAGTGGCGTTCTTGTTGCCGTTTCTTATCAGATCAGAATGCTTGAAACGGTATGTATGCAGAGTTCGGTTGCGTACTCTGTGTGTTGACCATAGTGGCTCATCTTCTTCTCCCTCTCTCAAAATTGATCCAACCCCTGTCCACCGTAAATTTTACCACTAACCTTGTATACATTGTGAGTCTGGCAGCAGTCAGTGAAGTTCGCTTCACTGTATTTCGCTGTACGATGATGATGATGCTGTTTCTAGTAATAGAGCTCATGAGGTTATCACCCCATTTTGAAAACAGAGGAAGGAAGCCCATTAGATCCTTCTCCTTTACTACACATATGTGTGAAGAATAGCAGACGAGATGACACCCATAGTCAGGAAGACCTGCTGTTCAGTGATGGAAACCGGTAAACTAAGAACCAAAACTTGGAGTGGAGAACCACACAAGGCCCTGATAGGTTAGGCGTGGGATTTAACCGGACGACGGCAAAGTTGGGCGGTGGGGCTTGACCATAGGGTTCAAAGCACGCCGGTGACAGCAACTAAGACCCTGCGCCGCTACCGCATGAGGGCTCCGTGCATGAACTCTAGCCTCGTACGACGAGAGGTATATCGGATTTAGGGATGTTTTTTGGTTTTGCCTTGGATCAATGTAGAACTCGCCCCTGGTGTTGCTATCAGGAGGCAATACTGAAGAATGAATAGCAATGGTGGAAATGTATGTCAGCGGAACGCTATGTACCACGACGAGAGGCGAGCTTCCACCAAATAATGGCCTTGGTGATTTGGGTGCTCACAAGGAGAGCTGCGCCATCAATCAACGGCTGGTCCGTGGTGACATAGCTACCAAACATTGTTGAGTTGTTTTGATTCGTATAGTACCATCAGAAAGACAGACAACGTCCACCTGGGATTCGTGCGAGAACCCGGTATAAAGCAACGTTCTGAGAGCTTCCTGTGGGGAAGCAGATCTCTAAACGTTGCGCAGATAAGTGTAAACTGCAGGTTAACATTATAGTGCTCTACTGGGAGTCGATGACCAAGGCTTTTGATATACTTTCTCGCTAATCATCACTTGTTGAGACCGTTTCAACTACGCAACTTAGCGTGATAGCGGCATGGCGGGTAAGACCAAATCACAACTCCTCATTGTTTGGACACCAGGAACCCGGAAGTTAGGCCGAGTGACTTGGAGATTGAGAATCACATAAATCTCGTTTGGAATAGGCGTGGCCATATGCTCGTTTAGCTGCTTTGGAAAAAGACCCTACCGAGAAGTTCGAAACGTCATGAGAATATTTTTAGATTCGATGTTATGAAGAGTAGAATAGTGGTAAAGCACACAGTATTAAAGACGAGAGACTAAATCGAGGTAAAAAATTCAAGATCGGTTCAGTAAAAATAAAAACAACCAAGGGCATTGAAATTCGGCCATAAACACCACAGGGGTATTACAAAAATGATAAGTATAAACGTATTCTGACAACGTTCAAACAAACAGATTTGTAAGTTAAATATGAACGCATACTGATTAAGACAGCCTCACAATTACCTTCGGGAGTAGAAAAAATCATACAATAAGGGTACACAACACGCCCATCAGATTTCTCATAATGATACGTCACCAAAATATACCGCGGTTCGTGGGACGGAAGTTCTTCCGCCAACTGGCTCAAATCCACATTCTGAAATTGAAAGGAACGAATACACTAAGCTCACCTCAAACAACTGCTCCTTGACAACCAGTTTGGTCTCCGTATCAATTCTTACTGAAATAGGTTTATTCTTTATAGTGGAAATTTTGACTTACATAAAAGAACATCAATCGTCTTAGATTTGCGGAACTTGAAATTCTGAAGTAATTGAACTGCTTCATCGGCAACAGCAGCCACTCGTGGTTCGGACTGAGAACATCATAATGGGCTGAGGACTTACCATGACGGTTAACTGAAAAGAATAGTAGCTGAAAAGTTGATAAATGTATCACGATTCATTCATTTGTTATCTTCTATAATGACAATTGCCTCTCTTTCCCTATACTCTATATCCTAACCTCTCTCCCCCACCCCGCGTTATTTTTATTGTGGCGTTGGCACCATGCTTGTTCTCAAGCCGGTGTTATATATATATATATATATATATATATATATCACGATTGGAACCCAAAGTTGCTCATCAGCCAAATAGAGATTATCTAAAGTGTTACTTAAGAGATGGGTGGATAGGCATGCGGGTTCAGAGAATTTTGTAATACACGGCGATTAGAGTCTGTAACTGTTCGAGAAATCAAAACAACACGAGTTTCCTTGAAAGTTTCAGCATACCTTTATGTTTACTCAAATGTTCAGGGTCAATGCAAAATGGCCACAAAACCAAAAACGCCGCGACAGGTGGCAACTATGAGTCTACGGGTATGCCATTTGCAATACCCTCTTCAAACCAGCATCAGGAAACCCTTTAACTAGCATATTATTCGGCTGTAATCATTGCTGATCTGCTTGGGGTGTCACAACAATGTTCTGTTTATGGCCAGTAAAAGTTCCCTTGTGTCTATTTCTCTTAAACAAAAATCTTTCTCCCCCCCATCAAATCTTAACTCGACCATTCCCCGTCCCACAGATTCCTGCAATCCATTAGAATTTTCTTCCTCTCATATGGACCCTTTATATTTATCTATTGGCGTTTGCCCCCTTTTTAGTATATGCACTAGTGCAATAAAAAATGATCTGCTAACTCACGGGGAACTAGCTTTTAATTAACCTCCACTATCACCCGTTTTGCCGAGTGAGTAGTCGAATCGCCAAATTGACATGGTTTCCTGGAAACCGATATCCTCTAGGATTGCAATGGCACGATTCAAGGGCCATCCAGTAAACCTCCCATCTCACAACAACGTCAAGAATGAGTTCTATGGAAGCCTTTAATCCCTTGTTATTGAAGTACCCAAACGGAATAGATTTGCTATAGTAGGGGACTGGAAAGATCGTATTTTACATCAGAAGGAATAGCTTTGCAAGCGTCTAGCAGAGCAGCCGAGGTCGAGGAGATCTATCGTTTTTGCTTTGATCGCACGTCGGAATCAGTCGTTATTTTGACTGACTTTTGGATCGTTTCTTTGATCACCAACTGGTATATACTCACTTCTTCGGCTGATTGTTGAGCTGAAAAGCGATCAGATAGCTCCGCTTCGAAGGTCGATTTGTAACCATTGCTGACCTTGTATTGAGGGCATCCGTTTTTGGGTTTCGCTGTTTTTTACAAGGCATGGGAGAATCTGGCTCGTAACAGAGCATGGTCTGTGTCTACGGGTATGGACTAGTAGGAGCCGCAGTCTTTAATGGATCCTCGCCAGCTGTGGCTGGCGGCAATGCGGTCGATTTGAGTCCAGCGCTGTGAAGAGGTGGATAGATTCCCTGTAAGGAAGTGTTGGTTTTTGTGCGAGAAGTGTGAGCTTGACAGGAACAGTCCGTGGTCAGTGCAAGGTCGGTGGTTAGCTGGGAGTGCATGTGAACCACCAAGAAGCCTTTCTGATTCACTCATGGATCCCATTTGAGAAGTGAAGACTCCAGCGACTACCACAATTTCCGTTGACGGAGAACTTTGGAGCAGTTGAATGAGTTTCTCGCAGAATTCATTTTTAATTTCTAGCGAACTACAATCAGTCGGTGCATACACGGATACGGCGTTTTCCAAATTAGTACCTAAGACTCTGGAGCATTATATACTCCGCAGTATCCCACAAAAATGAACGGTTTTTTGGATGGGGCTGTCTGGAGCCTTCGAAACATAAGTTTGACCCACAGGACAGTGGCGAGTAGATCAAACACGGAACGTGAACGAAGCACCCGTATGTGAGCTTCTAGATCAGATCAGCTTTCAGGTTATAGAGACCTGTGACGTAAGGCCTTCGGTTCAGTATATGGTTCGCTGTTGCGTTGATCGTCAGTCCGCTGTTCGCGATTGGCCCTTAGTCTCACACCTATTGAGACAAGCGGAATGTGGACGGGACAGCGCGATCTAGGATCCGGAACCACTGGGGGCCAG